TGCCTCCAACGTCCCGCCAATGGTCGAGAAGACTGATCTGTTTCGGTGCTAGAAGCCCCCAAGCTCGGATGCCGTGTCTTGCTTATTTGAGTCTTCAGTCGCTGCCTCGCATCTTGATAGATTCCGATCGACCAATGCCATAAACGTAATGGTGATGTTTGGACTGAGTAAAGGGCTGTATAACTATAAGAACCAAGCACCTCGTCCCAATACCAAATATCATTACTAAGTGGTAAATTCTGTATAAGTAGGGTGTTTAGGATTAGCCCATATGTTTGTACGGTCGCTTTGCTGATGAGAAGCCACTCTAATTCCACCGCGTAGTTCGTGAGTGCACCATCTAATATTGGTGTAGAGAAGCGGGCTTGTTCAAGTATTCTCTTGACTCTGGAGGCCTTTAGCAGCGGCCTCGAGGAGGATGTTGTTGACAATAACTTAACCAAGCGCTGCAGTTCAGATATTTGCAATGTTTCGGATGTAATTGATATTTGTTTACTTGAACCATCCTTGGATTTTTGTGGGCTTGAAATCGGCGATGGCGACAAGGGTAGAGGAGTTGATAGCGGAAGCCTGTCTAGCTGCAAGTCTATACGGCGAACCAGACTAACAAATACTGTTAGTTTGTCGAAGCAGCATATAGGGAACAATGCAAAAACTCACTCGGCCACAAAAGACATTTTGAGGTGTGGGGCCCACAAAAATCTGCTTGAGTTGAGATCTTGCGAATATGTAATTGTATATCGTGGGTGAGAATGAAGTAGATGATTGTTTCTCACTAGTAGAAAAGATTCCCATGACGTTGGTCTTGGCATAGAACCTCGAGTTAGACCCGAGCTAACAGGAGCCTGCTGGTTTACTACATGTAGAAAGAGCCTAATTCATGGATGACTAGAAAGGAGCTCTGATATTTTGAACCGTTAGGCCAATTACGCTCTTTTGTGACGACTGCTCGAATACCCGCAGCCTTTTATTTATTTACCTAGTCACGACCCGACCGCTCAACTCGAATCGCAACATATTACATGTATCGGAGTTGCGGAGAGATCCCTGTAACGCGAGCCGGTACACATGTTCGGAAGAGATCACTATAGTCACAGGCGTTCTCCAAGACTAACATTGTATGATAGATGTTCAGCAAGGAACCCATAAACACTGAGCAAACCCCCGAGAACTACTGTTGTATGATGACGTATCTGTTCCGAAGGAACTCCGATGGTCAAACCCCCAATTGACAATGACAAGAGGGGAGGGAGAGAAATACGTTGAAAAGGCGACCAGTCCGAAATTAGAATCGCGATTCTGGTAACAATTTTGTGGTCCGAGTAAAGCAGAAAGTCGTCGGTGTTGGCCTTTTCTGGCGCGGGCGGCGGAAGGGCTTGTTCCGGGTGTGGTCTGACTTGCCAAGCCCCAACGCGTAAGGGTTCCTGCATTAGCACTTAAAATCCCCCTTTGCCTTTCAGAGAAAATATTAACTCCTCCTATGACAATCATCCAGCTTCACTCGATCCGCCGGGTTTTCTGCCTTCAAATAACCTTCTTTCCCCTTTCCTCTAAGCTTCAGCTTTCAACTTATCAATGTGAGCAATATGAAATCGTTTGCGGGAGCTGGATTAACATCCCTAGGAATTCAACCATTCTACCAGCCACTCAAGGCACATATTGGGGGCAATTCGATGAAATATCAAAGTACAGCATTCACCTCAATTTGTTCGAGAGGCTTTGGGCAGCATGTGCGTTCAAAATCTTCGCGTTATAGGTGCTGCTTTATTTGAGTTGTGCATGGCATAACTGACAACTCGAGCAGGGTATGCATACATGCAGAACGATGTCCTCGCAACAGGCATCATGTCTTTCGTGATGCATGAGCTAGTATATTTTGGGAGGTCTCTACCTTGGATCATCATCGATGCGATTCCATACTTCAACAAATACAAGATTCAGAATGTTGGTTGCCACTCAGATATTTTTATCATTCACTTGGTCCTTTAGATGGCTCACCATCTCATACATGGTATAGCAAAAGGTGCCGACAGCCCAAGATCAGTGGAAGTGCGCCAAATTGGTACTTCTGAGTCACTTCACAGTTGAGCTTCCCCAGATCTGGTATCACTGTCCCCCTACCTTTTTCCAGCAGGCGGACTAACTAGTCGAAGGCTATTTCATCCCATGGCTCAGTATTTCGGCTTGTCTACTGGTGTACCGTTCCCTCCCCTCCTCACAATGGCCTACCAAATTGCTGCCTTCTTCGTGATGGAAGACACCTGGCACTATTGGACACACAGAGCACTTCATTGGGGCCCCCTCTACAAGGGTATCCACAAGATCCACCATACATACTCTGCTCCGTTTGGTATGGCCGCTGAATACGCCTCTCCAATAGAGGTGATGATACTTGGTATGGGCACCGTCGGATCCCCAATTCTATGGTGTGCCATTACCGGCGAACTCCATATCCTCACAATGTACCTTTGGATCATGCTGCGTCTATTCCAGGCCATTGATGCCCATAGTGGCTACGAATTTCCATGGAGCTTACATAACTTCCTTCCTTTCTGGGCGGGTGCTGATCACCACGATGTGCATCACGAACGGTTCATTGGTAACTACTCGAGCAGTTTTAGGTGGTGGGACTACCTTCTTGATACTGAATCCGGACCTGAGGCTGCGAAAAAGCGGAGAGAGCGGAAACTAGCAAAAGAGGCGAAGAAAAATCTGTAGATGAATTGGCTGGTTGGCTATCTTTGCTGACCCTAGGATCCCCAAACCCGATACAGTCACCCGGTTTATCTAGGCACGGTCCAAGGAGGTCTTTGGCAACGGGAGCTATGGCTAGCGGGGCCATGTACACTGTAGGAATGTTCGCTCCGTTCTGCAAAATATTAGACAACGATTGTCATCACGGACTTGCTTGGCGCTTACCGAACGGTGTTTCGGGTAGAGAGGGAGGATTGCTGAACACCCCTCAGTTTCCTATGCGTTCAAATTCGCGGGTGGGCCTTGTGTTCATAATTGGTGTCTGTTACCTACCGTATTAATACTAAATAATAACTATTTATTCTGGGTGTGGCTAGAACGTACGTGAAAGGCGTGTTTTGGAGGCGCCGAACTGCGATCAGACCTTACTAGCTCAGTATGAGCGGGAGGGAATTCCGGGTCACAACCTCCCAGATGGGCCGCTCTCTAGAGATTATTCCTTATGAATGTATGCAGTGACAGCGGCTCCTGTAATAGACCGAGCCGTATGCAACATGGTCTTCACTATAGAGGACTATCATATTCTGCATCTGAAGTTGTAAGGTCTAAACATCATCGCTTTTCAAGAATCGACGTAGTATTACATGCACGTGTGACCTTATAACACCGGTCCTGATCATGATTCATGACCCGCAGGCCACCGAGGGCATTCGTAAGGTCAATTAACAAACTGATCAAGTTATGGTAGCTACCAATGTCACAGCTTTTAGAGCCGACGCTTCGACCGGTGAGATCCACTCCTCCGTGTTGCTTGTCGACCTCTAACTAAATCTTCTTCGATGCGCTTCACCGCCTTCCACGCCCAACCCGCCCCCTAGTCCTACTTGGGCTTCGGCTCCTGTCACTGAAACTGCTATAGCTACTGTAGCTAGGGCTTCGCCTCCTCCTCCCAACCCTAGGAGGGCTCTCTCTCCTTCCGCCACCACCTCTCCTTTTAGGAAAAGGCGATCTAGAACGAGACCTAGACGTAAATGACCTAGACCTGCTTCTTGGAGATCGAGACCTTGCCGAACGAGGCCTTGAATACGACCGTGGTCTATATGTATCCATATTGCTCCCCCTTGGATCCGGCCGACCGTATCTCCTTGGAGGACTACGTCTGATGGGTGGTGGCGAGCGATATCTACCACCTCCGGTGCCTCCAGGCCCGGGGATAGACCCACGGTAGCCCACCGCGGGCGGTCCCGGCCGAGGGTCGTAATGGTCAACGCTTGGTCCGATTCGCCGAGCAGGTGGAGGGGAACGAGAGAACTTGCGTCGTGGTACTACGATAGAAACACTAATGACCGCGCCGTCAAGTTGAGCCTCGTGCATGTGGGCAATGGCAGCCTCGGCATCAGTAGCGGAGTAGTACAGGATGTATGCAGTCCCACGGTTTGTATTAACTATGGAACAGTTAGAAGCTTAGATTGAGGGATATAGAGAGGCTGCCGTTGTAGGATTTATCGGCAATGCTTACATTGTCTGTTGATCGGCATATCTAGGTCTCGAATTGAACCATAAGCTCCAAAGATCTCCCTCAGATGGTTCTCGTTGACATTTTTCGTTAGCTTCTCAACGACAATCTACCGTTGGAGGTCGTTAGTACTTCTTCTGAAGTGCGAAAAATAGGATGCATCAGATATCTGCGAAGCAGAAGAACACATTGCGGCTAAATGATCTGCAACAAACAACGTAGATGTCTGAGACTAAACCCATACCTTTGAACTCCTTAGTTCTGGGCTTCTGCTTGTACTCCTTCCACGAATCGGACTACGACTATAGCTCCTACTTCTAAATCGGCGGACCCCTTTATCACGGCTTTGACTCCTACTTCTAGACACGCTTGGACTGCGACTCCTGCTCACAGGCCTCCGTCTTCGTATCCCATTACGACGAAGATCTCTGAGTCCGTGAGATGAAGATGTCCGGCTCAGTGACCGAGATCGAGAGATTGAGCGTGGAGAAATTGAGCGTTTGGGAGATCGAGACCTGGCAGAAGGCGATTTCGAGTATCTGGCCGAGGCTGGCGTGAGTGATCGGCTGTGAGAGCGAGAGCGAGAGCGCAGACGGCCTCTAGAGGGCTGTGGGGATCTGGACGGCATTTCTCGGTGTTCGTACTGATGAGTAGCTAGTTGATGCCGTCGATGCGCCAGTGTTACGGTGTTCTAAAAACGCGTCGACTTAGATTTATCCGGATATCACGTGACTTAGAATTGGCTAGCAATTTCCGGTTATGGTACGAGTTAGAGCACTATTTTTCAAGAGCCCCTTTAGCTCAGTTGGTAGAGCGCGGCACTAGTAAGTCATCTGACCTCATAATGCCGAGGTCATCAGTTCAAATCTGATAGGGGGCATCAAGTTTTTTTTTTTTTTCCGGACAATTACTCGAATACCACCCACCTTCCTTCCGTTTTGTTTACCGCGACTTTCTTTGATTTCTATCTAACCTATCGCATAAATTCTCATATATTATCTATCCCCTTTTTACTCCGGGGGTGTGCCCGACGATTATAGGAGTTCTTCCAAACAGAACACCTGATCAACGGTAGCTGTCCCTGCGGTTATGAGTCCCCTTGAATAGACGTGTCGTGATACGGCTACCTGGAGCCTTCCTGAGCGCATCCTCCGTGATACGGCAGTAATAGCTAGAGAGCCCAACAGATTCAATCCTCATGTTCCTGCTCCCCAAAAAAAAGGAACTTTCAGGTTTTCTGGCTTGATTATGCATAATATATCACTCATAAGCAGACTAACATTCGAGTAGTCTACTAGTAGCTCTCGTCCGTCGTGACAGGATTATGAGAAACTTGTGAGGAGCTGACAAGGGCAAGTTGTGTAAATTAGAAGGCAATAAAATTAGAAAGATCAATGAATGTGTAACTCACATTCCGATGCATAAGTTAGGCAATGAAACACGTGAGATTCTCTCAACACAGATCTTCCATTCAAGCCTTATCTAGGAAGAGTAGAATTACCACACCCCACTGATGTCGATTTTCTGCAAACACCAAACATAGAAGTCGTAGAATAACATCACCTTGCTTGGGCATTAAGTTGTGGCATTAGGTTGTATTTGTGGGTGGGGCCTGGTACTCTTGCTATTACAAATGGACGAAATGAACATTTCTAAGATGGAAACATATTCAGACTGAACGAATGGTATCGGAAGGTCATTTTGCTGGTCGATTCCAAGCTACAGTCACCTATCAGCATCTCAAAGGCAACAAGGATGAGCAACATTACGTTAACTCTTTCGATTCTATCACCTGTTAATCTACACAACCTATCTTTGTCGATTCCCCATAGAATTTTGGCCGTTTTATTACGACGACAGCTACTAGTGGACTATGCTAGTATTAGTCAACTTATGAACGATAATCGAATACACGTCAAGAGATCAAGTCCACCAGCCAAAAAGATCGTGTCTTTTTGAAGCAGAGCCACGGGGATTGAACTATTAAAGTTCTCAAGCTGCAGCAAAATCATTGTCCATTTATCTTCTTCAAAGAGCATTACAGAACAGATATCCTGAAGGGTCAACCATGTACGCCTGGAGAAGGAAAGCAGGTACAATGGTGGAAGCTGCAGCCGGTATCGAAGAGGCACGGATGTTCATGATCCATGAGCCAGCATCAACCTTATATGATCATTATCATTGAGATTTATATGACCTTGACGTGTTTGCCACATCGATTGGAGAGAAGGGCGACGTGACCACGAGGGGCACCCTAGGTAGCACCGCTGTATCGCGGCGTATGAAGGGCTCCTGTAATCCCATTGTAAGTTATCTATATGGTGCTTTGGGTACATCCGATGACGCAAGTTGATGCATGATACTCGACGACGCGAAAACGTTATTTAGGATAATTTGTGGTAATAAGGCAAACCCTTGTATTATTCGTTATGTTTGCTGGTATAGTAAATAGTAACTGCGCTGGACCATTTTCTACTAAGCGGACGATCCAAATTTGTAGTGAAACTTAGAATAATTTCCCACTATTCTAACTCTAACTACCTCATGCGACCTCAACTTCGGTTTTCTACTAGGTTAGCCTGCGCAAATCAAGCCTCAAAGGTCCTCAATGTTTGGGCGCAGACATGGACTAGATACCAGCCGCAAAGAATACATACAAGCGGCAATGAGGAGCGGAACCCGGTATACTCAGAGGAAGAAGATATTGAGCGTATATCGGGAGAGGTAGCTTCTCTAATACACAAAACCGACAGAGGCTGGGCTATTAGCGAGAACGGCAAAGGCCTGGAGAGATCCTTCAAGTTCAAGAGTTTCAAAACGACCTGGGTGAGTAACTGTTGGCCTATTAGATGTATAATGTATGGCGGTTGGCTCTAAACAGACGTTTTTAGGGCTTCATGAACGTTATCGCAAAGCAATGCGCTGTCCAGCGTCACCACCCCGAGTGGTCTAATGTACGTTTTCGACATTGGGGGTGAGCGAGAGTGATTGGTTGCTTACTCCGTTGAATCGAGGCAGATCTACAACAAAACTTTCATTCGATGGACAACACACAATCCCTCGGGGTTATCGATGAAGGATGTCCAAATGGCCAAGTATTGTGACGAACAAGCCATCGTCTTGGGAGAAGAAGCGCAGGAAATCTCAGATACATGTGACCAGACCAGGCCCACTCGAGATCTCGCCGACCAGATCGCACAGGGTGGTGACTGCTGTACACCCAAAAGTTGAATTTCTGTGCATCTATATGATTTCCAAGTAAACAAGATGAAATACTCCTATTCTTCGCTCTGCGATGCTTTATCACGCTACCCAGCGAGACTAAGGAGGGGTTTCTCGAAAGCAAATTGTATCCCTGTCGTTTTAGGACGGCGCACTAATCACTCAAGCCCGTTCCGGGCTCACCCTCGGCCGCGGAGGTAGGACTTCATCATAAATAGCCCTTAAGGATTCTAAAAGGCTAGCAGTGTGGGGGCGTGGGAAGAAGGCATTTTAATGGAACGATTCTCGGTATTGAGTCAACTTGAAATGGCATAACAACGTGATTATAAAAAGCAAGATGCCGAGGAAGACAGCCAGGCTATATGACAAGCGATGCTATGATCGCTGGTGCACCAGGCGGCCCTTTACCCAGACGGACAGCGTGTTCCTGTCATCGCCATTATAGACCCACTTCGCCACTCTCTCATCCCATGACTCCCACCCGAATATATCCACCGGGCCTTCGTTGCTAGATAGTTTGAATGACGCATGGGATAAAGCCCCCCCGTGCTGCTCGGTCTCGGCCTCGGGCACAAGAGTCAAACCAATAAGCTGGGCGTCCCATTCCATCCCAACTTCGAAGCCCCCAATCTTATTCTCCAAGCCAACAACTTTCGCTCCGCCACGCGTCCCCAGGTAGAGGACTTCTTCAATGGAGAGTTTTGCCGCATCTCCGTCAAGCATGGCTACATGCCTGGACACTAGACTAGCCTGCCTCACGGCCTCCAACATAGATGGAGAATAGCCTCCCGAGACGTCAGTTCCCAAACCCACCGTGATGCCGCTATCCAGTAACCATCGGACCTTTGCACCCCCGGAGGTAAGGGCACTATTCGAGGCTGGGCAGTGTGAGATTTTCGCATCCCGCTCCCTGATAAGGTCTCGCTCACTTGCAGAAATATGTATAGCGTGAGCCAAAATCATTTTCGGGGTTAAAAGCCCATGGGTGTCATAGACTTGGGCATATGATGTACTTTCTGGAAAGAGCCTCCTGACCAGTTGTACCTCGCCGAGATTCTCCGAGATGTGAGTCTGCATGGGCACATTGGTTGATTTATGCAACTGTCCGAGTGCGTGTAGCAGTGGAGACGTGCAGGAGGGAGCAAAGCGCGGCGTTATTATTGGAGTTATGAGTTCATAGGCCGAGTCGATGGATTTGATATGATCGATTGTGGACCTCGTGTCTGCGATCGCAGTTTCCGCCGAGTCATCCTTGTAGTAATCCGGAGAGAGGTTGTCCATGCAGCAACGGCCAACAAAGGCCCTTTGACCAGCATCGAGGCATATATCAGCTAGCAAATTTGTCGAATCCACATGCTTGGTGGCATAGTAAGCAGCAGTGGTCGTTCCATTTGATAGAGTGCGTGATATGCAACGTGAGTATACCGCGCGTGCTTTGTTTATATCGGCCAATGATGACTCCAAGGGGAATGTGTAGGTATTAAGCCACTCTAAGAGGGTGGATTGTCCAAATATCCCCGCGTTGGGGTACTGGCTGGCATGGATATGAGTGTCTGGCTTTGTGCATTAGATTTTGTAAGACTAGGGTAGCAACGGTACTCTCAACTAACCAATAAATCCTGGGAAAAAAAATTGGCAGCCACTTGTTCGCACTTGGCGAGCATCCTCCCATCCATGTGCGACTATGGCCGAGCCAACATTCTCCATATTCCTCTCTACAAACACGATCTTTCCATGTTCGTCCACGCCGATAGCGCCATCCTCGCATATATCGAGCTTTTGGAGTGTCTCGCAGTGTATGAATGTTCCGACATACACAGTGCGATGCAGAGATTTTTCTCGTGTGGTTGGCATTGATGTAGACCGTGAAAGGGGGATGTCGAAGTGGTCTGGGGCGGATGAACTCTGCAATTTATTTATCTTATCTACATGGTGGTGATTACCAGCAGCGGTGGGCTGCGGAGGAAGAACTGAAAGAGGGGCGGAGAAAGAGGTGAGTTCGACTTGCCCTAAAAGGTATAGTGTGTCGTCGCGAAACGGGTTGCGGCGTTAGCCGTTCGTCGGGTTATTCCACCCTCTCGCCCACCCAAAACAATACATTCTATCAACCATACCAGTCGTCCGCCGCCGTAAGCTTCTAGTAGTTATACAAAGTCCGCTGTTGATACATGCATGCCGTACGGGTATACGGACACACGCCACGATCGAAATCACTCCAGGCCTCGCTAGTGGCCAGCTTTTATTTTACAAGAACGTGCCCCAACAGTGGATGGCGAAAGGTAAATCGCAACTCGTTCATATGCTCGCTCGCCTAGGAGCCATCGTTCGCCTGAGATTTTTCTTTTCTTCAGTCTCTTCCATTACGGGGAGAACCCCCTTATCCCTGAGCTGTGTTAGGAACTGCTTGCCATATTGATACCCGACTTTATAAATCTCGTCGAACTTGGCAAAGTCCAAGGTGCCATATCCATCTACTGGTGGACGCATGTAGAGGCATCCTGGAGTCGTCTTTGCTCGTTCTAGTGCGTCGACGCTTGAAACATAGGCTAGGCGAGCCTGGATTTCTGAAAGGGTTGGTGGATTGGGATACGACGAAAATGGGTTCCACCTATTCATAAATGCCCAGAATCCGGAGAGGGAATCACCGAACTGTTGAGGCGTCTCATCGTTAATGCTTCCGACATCGATAGCAAACACAACATCTGCACCTAGTGACTTCATATGGGCAACTGTTAGATTGTCGACATATCCTCCATCGAGGAGCATGCTCCCCTCATCACAGAGAGGTGGAAGAAGCCCAGCAAGAGACATTGAAGCGCGGACGTATCGCCAAGCATAGCCGCTGGTGTGCACTTCCGATCGGCTCTTGCTAATATTCGTAGTATTACAATAAAACTCAAGCCAGGAGTCTTCTATTTGTGAGTTTCCCAGGGCCTTAAAAATCCCGCGGTTGAACTCATGCCCTGTAGTGTAAGAAGCCCTGTGAATAGTTAGCACACAGAAAGGGGGCAAACCCAGAGTCACCTACGATGGGTATGTCAAGTCAAGTACAAATCTCCACATGCTTCCCATCCTGCCGGCGAACTTTTTCGCTCGGCCATACATGGGCACTATATCAGCGTCACGTGCATACAGGGCACCTATGAAAGCACCTATGGAGGTTCCTCCGACGATGTCAATTGGTATTCCAGCTTCCTCTAAGGCCTTAATGACTCCGATGTGCGAGATGCCACGAGCACCACCACCCCCGAGCACAAGGCCTACTGATTTGCCGCAAAGCCTCCGAGCAAGTCGGTGGAAGTCTCCTTTGAATGGGGACTCAGATGAATAAAGCGGAGTTTGTCTGATCCTCCGGGATGTGTACTTCTGTATCTCGGCCTGGAGGGTCTGGACTCGTTCCTTTAGCACAGAGCCGAATCGTTTCGTTTGCGGGTGTACCGGCTCTGCGCCCGTTCTGAATGCCATTTGTATGTGGTGATGTCCACCATTAATCCACATTCGATTCTGTGGGCTTGTTAACCTGGAATCTGATGTTTTTCCGGGTCTCATGATTAAGTACTTACTCTTAGCCACTTTCGAGTAAGCCCCGCAGGAGTGTAGCGGTCAACATGAAGTAACACTAATTCTTTCCTAGCAGTGGTTTTCATGCCGACAAGGAACCTCTCATACTCGCCGATAGCTGACGATCCTTCCGCTAGCCCAACGAGAAGAATGCAATCGGCTTGGCTGATGCAAGTTTGCGTCCAAGGCGCGTTCACGCTTGTATCGGCAACATACAAAACCATTCCATACTTCTCTTCCAAATCTGCAAGGTACTGAGAAAGCTTTAGCTTCCCCATCCTGCTAAATGCATGTCGTCCGAGATGATTGAGTATAGCCGCATGGTTCAGGGTTGTCACGTCGTTCGGAGTCCCAATCTGTGTAAGAGCATTCATTAAGCGGCTGGCGAATTCAACCACCGGGACACCAGCGGTAACAGGGAGTATGGCCACCGTCCGTAGATTGACAGTCGATGTGACATTCGTGCTTCGAGCCGTCCCAGGGCTATCCTTGCCTTGCTCAGAGAGGGGATCCTCGATTAGGGCACGCATGCGTGATGCGATTATCTTGGATATTTTGATTGTGATACCCGGATGCTCAAGCGCTAAGCTATTAAATAGGGTCTTGGGGAATTTCGCAAGCTCGGTATCCCGGATCGCATGTAGTGTTGCGGGCCGGGTCGTCTCAGTCATCACCTCAAGCTCACCCACGCTTTCGCCCTGCCCGTATTCTCCAACAACTCGCATACCCCCATCCTCATTCTCCAGGATTGCTCGAAGCCGGCCGTTCAGCACAATGTAAATCGCATCACTTTCGTCGTTTTGGTGGTATATTACTTGACCAGCATTAACTTGAACCCACTCAAGTGCGAAATCGATGTGTAGTATAAGTCGGGGCAGAAGACTAGTGAGACGCTTGGCCATTGTTAGGAGAACTACCGGGTATTTTTCGACGATGCGCTCTAGTGAGCTTCTGGGAAGAAACCCGACATAAACATCCGTTTTTGCTCTCACATCAATGAAGGATCTGTAGGACGAAATGGTTCCAACATATCCTGCGATGCCACCTGGCTTAATAAGAAATAAGCTCTTCCGCCCAGCCTTCTTTTTCCGTCTTCCGCCAGTAGGAAGCCCAGTTGCCGCACTAGAGGCAAATGAAGAACTAGTACCCGTCCTTGTGAGAAGCTCAAAGCTGTCTGGAGCTGATCCAGTTGAGGAATGCATCGTACCAAGCACATTAGACTCGATGCTATGTTCATCGATTGGTATGCTAACGTCGAGAAAGCCGTCAATTACATAGTATAGGCCCGGATTTCTCTCGCCTTGCTCGACAAGAACAGAGCCTTTAGGAAAGTAGACTATCTCAACATCATCCCGCAGCTCGCTGCTGAGACTGCTGCCTCCAAATGACCCGCCAGTGCTAACGGCGGAAACTGAAGCTGATGTTACTGACTCCGAGTCGCCATCAGCAGAGCCTTCATAAGGGTCTATAAACCCGAAAGCATTGTTGAATACAGCTTTCTGTCGTCTTGAATCGTACGAGACGAGCCTGGGAGATTGCTCAACGGAGTCTGTCTTGCGGAGCACATCTTTAGTGCTAGTTAACCCGATGGCCTTGAAAATACACTCCAATACAGATTCTCGGAAGATGCTATCTTCATTTAACGACTCCTGGCGGTGCAAGACACCGTCGTTTCGCATCGAGGCCGCCAGGAGTGGATTGAAGCTTCGTTGTGTGAGTGGGCTCTGCTGTTCTGCCCGTAAGATGCCTGCCTCCTGGAACGGCTGGTCAAAAGGTGCGTCTTCAGGGGAGGTGGGATGTCCTCGGCGAACTCCATATCTAGATATTTGTATGTTGGTAAGAAGATCGCCAGCGCTTACTGCATTGACATCACCGTTGGAGCCGCTCTTCGGAGACCTGGCGGAGACATTTTTACTGGATAGGTCGGTGGTTCCCCTGGAAGCAGAGAGCCGGGCTTGCGCGGCTGCTTCTATCCGAATCGCACTGCTTGACCGCCTACGCCGACCGGCGTGGGGGTTGTGCAAAGCGATCCCTTTCATGCCTTCCTCATGTCCAATCCGCTCCTTCTCCTTAAGAAATTTTTCCTTCAGTCGTTCCAAGGCCCCCCCACGCAGGAAGTTCGGGAGTTCATATGTCGTATACTTATCCATGTGCTTCTCAGTCCTCAAAACCTCGCTCGTTAACCCGAGATAGGAGTGACCAGTCGAGAGGGTGACACGCTGAAGTCTAGTAAGAATGACTTGCACAATATGGGCCGTGGCCCTAGGGTATACTCTTGTTAGGCGGCGAAAAGCGCTTGCCGGCACGATAGCAATTGTCGTATCGACGGTTGCCCTTGCCACGATATCTGGGTGTACGGACTTGGTCTTCTTCGGCCTAGGACGAGGCGGTTGAGATTGTGCTTGGTAAAAGGAGTGATGGTTGCGACTATCTCTGTGCTGGGCAGTGGGGTTACCATCTAATGAGAGTGGAGGGATTGCTGGCAAATGATTATTGGTAGTAGAGCTGACTAAAGCTGATGAACGGCGCTCTCGGCTGGAAGGTGGTCCTGGTGGGGTTTGAGGTTGTGGGCTCGTCTGTTCTGGCTCGGACGTAGAATCACCCATTCTAGCCCCTAATACAGATTGGAAATTGGATTGGCTGAATCCAGGTGTAGAGGAGCTGGACTCCATTCCGCCATTTTCGTCTTCGTTGTGACGCAACTTGACATCTTCTGTGAAAAGGGAAAGTATCGAGAATAATGAAGACATTGGCGCTCCATTTTTGACTTCCGTTAACAGTTGATAGCCCTGATTGCCTTCTTCGTAGTGATCTTCCCCCTCGTGGTCATATCCTCCATCGACATTACTGCTCGGCGGCTCCGAATCTGAGTGTCGGCCCTCCCGACTGGACTTGACAAATATCTGGACAAGGCCATCCACCACAAGACAAAAACCCTTCTCCTCCTCAAGTAGCAAAGTTTCCCCCGCTATAAGCTTCCTAGTCTGCATTGACCTGGTCAACTCATGGAATACAGGCCTCTCCAGGTATCCAAAAATCTTGATCGCACTCAGGAACTCGTCCAGATAGTTTGCCAGTCCCGGCTTCGAGTCGCCTTCCTGGGTGTCAGGGGGAAGGTCTATTTGAAGTTCCTTCCGTTGGGGTTCGGGAGGTAATCGAGCATACATATTCAGAAAACGATATCTGATGAACCAACTCACAGTGGATACGAACGCAAGGATAATCAATAGCCTTTGTAGGTACTGTTAGCACATCGTGCTTCTCGCGTAACTTATGATCAAGTACACACATACAGAGTTGTGAAATTCATAGTGAACGTCAGAGTGGTGGAAAACAGTGTGAATAGCCATGTTGGTAGAGTAATTGTTGTGAACGTGATAGACCAATATAAGATAGAAGGAATCGCCCTGAACAAGAACAAGAACAGGCGTCCTAGTGTTCCAATAATAGAGGTTGACGGTGATGTATTCAGAGTTTCGTTAGCCAGTGACGTCGGTATTATCTGGCTCAGCGTTTCTGAGAACGCCTCTGAACCACCAACCGGCGATGACACGGGTGTTAGCACAGACATAGCTCTAACAAACAAGTTATGGTTGTTCTCTCCGTCAAGCTTTGACTGCTGAGCGTGCGATCACTCAGCATCTTGACCTATTGAGTGATCGTGGAAGCGGAATGTACGATGACAGGGCAAGGATTGAGTGAGGTCTTGGCATTCTCATGTTAAAAGCGGCAGAAGTCTGCTAGTGTGTGACGTTTAGATATTGCGCGTGGACTAAATAAAAAAGGTGTTGGTAATTGGAACCTGGAATTTTTGGTTGGGGAGGAAAAAAAAAAAAAGAAATCGTCAACAGTAGGACTCGAACCTACGCTCCCAAGGGAAACCGCTCACAATTCGCTTGAATAGCAGGCGATCGCGTTAACCACTCCGCCATGTTGACCTATGAGTATTGCTAGATTTATTGGCATATTAACCGACATTTTGTTGCGCTAGCGGTTTTAACATTTTTACCCTTCTTCCCCCACCAGTGTGCATATTTAGCAATATTTCGGCTGATTAGGTTACTTGGTTTAGCCACGTCACATTTGCTGGGCATAAAGAGGTACTAACTAAATCTATAAAGCAACACCGTCTGGCGCGACTCCACTTACTCAGGTTCATATCTGGCTGTACGGCCCACGTGGCTAGGACCGTTAAAACCATGGAGGCCGAGGTTAGCATTGATAAGAATTTAGAGGGGAGGGATTCCCCAGTCCTTCGGGGTATAGATGAGCCTCCAACAGCGGACCAATTGGTTTGCCATAACGGCAAGCGCTATACTACGGTGAAAGAAGGTCTTGCATATATCTTGATTCCTGCAGAAGATACGAAGACGGTGTCGAACCCAGTGAAATCTTCAGAAAATGAAGAGACACAACGACAGTCGGTATTTTATAACCCCATCCAGCAGTTTAATCGCGATTTGAGCGTCCTCGCGATACGAGCGTTTGGAGGAAACGTAGTTAAAACCAAGAGAGAGAGACGTGAGAAGAAGGCAAAAGATTTAGCGCAGAAAGGAAGCAAACGTGGTAGAAAGCGGAAGATAGGAGATGTTGAAGGAAAGGATGATCCGCCTCTTACGGACCAGGCGGGCGGAATAGAGAATAGAACCCGATGTGATGGGAAGGGGGGTGATACCGAAGAGACGATCAACGATGTTCCTATGGAGCAGCTAGAACCAATTGGGTTTGGAGACAAACGGGGATCTGGCACCGCAGAAACTCAGCTAGAGTGGAATCAAGGGACTGGTGTGAAAAGAGATTGGAGGCCCCAGTTTTCCATTCTTGATGCTCTGTCTGCTACAGGTCTTCGCGCCCTTCGATACTGCCAGGAAATCCCCCACACAACCTCCGTCACTGCGAATGATTTGTCCCGAGAAGCGACAATATCTATTGGGTTGAATATCAAGCATAATCGACTTGACGGCCGAGTAATCCCCTCGACAGGTAATGCTATTTCACACATGTATCAAGTCGCACACTCAAAGATTTGGAACAAAACCGGTCCATCGCTAAACAAATACGACGTTATTGACCTCGACCCTTACGGGACTGCTGCTCCTTTCCTCGACGCGGCCGTGCAGGCGCTGAACGATGGAGGTTTACTCTGTGTTACATGTACGGACTCGGGTGTGTTTGCGTCAAGTGGCTATCCTGAAAAGACTTATGCTTTGTATGGTGGCTTGCCAATCAAAGGCCCTTATTCTCACGAAGGGGGGCTACGACTCATTCTCCATGCTATTGCCACTAGCGCTGCGAGATATGGTCTCGCGATTGAGCCACTACTCTCGCTGTCCATTGACTTTTATGTGCGCCTGTTCGTGCGAATTCGCCGCTCTCCCGCGGAAGTGAAGTTCTTGGCTGGGAAAACCATGATTGTTTATTGCTGCGATCAGGGATGTGGGGCATGGAGGACACAACTACTTGCAAGAAATAGGGAGATGACGGACAAGAAGGGTACCAAGTACCATAAGCATTCCTTAGCACAAGCCCCTTCAACTTCGGAGCACTGTGAATGTTGCGGTCTTAAAACCCATGTAAGGTTCACTACTCAATTTGCAAAAGAGGTTGAAACTAAACAGCCTCCAGCTTGCAGGTCCCATGTACGCAGGTCCTATGCAGTCTCGCAGCTTTATCAAATCCATTCTTGACTCTCTCCCAGAGGTCTCAAGGGAGACTTATGCCACGATTGATCGCATTGAAGGCATGCTCTCTACAGCACTCGAAGAAACTCCTTTTACACCTCAGGAAGAGACCAGCGTTAATACCGGGGAGTTTGAATCTGAGATAGCCCAGTTTAACCCTAGCAAAATCGATACGCAACCATTTTTCTTTATTCCAAATGCTCTGTGCAAGGTTATCCACTGCCAAGGGCCACCTGCAGATGCCCTGCGTGGCGCTTTTCGACATTTGGGCTATAAAGTCACCGCAAGCCACTGTAAGGCGGGAAGCTTCAAGACAAATGCTCCGTGGCCTGTAATTTGGCACATCTTTAGGGAGTGGATCCGTCAAAAGTCTCCGATTAAAGAAGGTGCCGTGAGGGAAGGTACCGCTGGTTGGAATGTCCTCAAGAGTTCACTTGGTGGAGTTCACGCTGACAGTTTGGAACGCACTGTTGAAGTGAATGGCTCAGGCGTGCCAGGAGAGCAACGGACCGAGCCGCGTTCACCTGCAGGGTTGAAAGTTGTATTCGATGAGGCATTGGGCCTCGAAAAAGATGCGAAGAGGGTTGTGAGGTACCAGCAAAACCCCCGTGCCAATTGGGGACCTCTAACCATGGCAAAAGGCCCCCGCAAATAAAGTAGCAAACCTGAGGGCATTCAATCTTACTCGCTGCTTGTTGACGAAGAGCTATACTTACCATGAGTTGGTTTTAAGTTATTTTAATTGTGGTCCGAGTACCTTGGCTAGCTAGGTGAGGGGGGAGTGCAACCACCTAATCATAGGCCGTAAGAACCTTGCTAGGTTAATACTTACTGAACCTCAGCAATCTTATAATTGTAAATTCACAACTCGTTATAGAATATTTCCCTTTGCATGTCTGGTGTTAAAAGTGTGCTGTAGAATGGATGATATTGGGGTCGCTTGGATTTAGCTTTATTATGCCACGTGACGTCATATAGGACAACAAGCTCTAGACGTATTTCACAATGCGATGATAGTTCAAAATGATGACGCGGAGAGGAGGGAGTAGCCAGTATTCAGATACTAGGAATAACCCAAATATTGGAGATGAACGGCCACAATCCACGATAGCGGCCCAAATTGTCCACAATCTTTCCACCAAGAATGGGGATCCACAACCAGCAGACAGAGGAAGTTTCCAACAACTACTGGCAGAGATCTTAGGTGCTGAGAGCGACCAGCCTGCAGAGAGCAGAGCCTTTGAAAAGGATTTTAATGTCAATTATAGGCTCATTTGTGTTGTTACGAAGGCTGGGTTGGACGTGCTTCTATCTCAAGACCCATTCATCACGCCGGAGAATCTACTTGTTCAGGCGTCTAACAGCATATCAGTAATTCATCTAACCATACAAAAGACTCCCCAGATTCTCTTTTTCTCACCTACCCCAGGTACTGAAGGATCTGACAAATCCCAGCCTCCGCTTTTTGTTCTACTGCTACCGAAGATCTTATCTCTTGTCGGGCATCCTGCGGCGAACCCTCTACAAGAGAAAATAGCAGACTTGCTCTATTTGCTCTTCGAAGCCACTGCGAGGTCATCGGAATTGTGGAAACGGTCTGGCGAGCTTTTAGAGTATTTTAGGGCATGCATCGTTGGTATGTGTTGATTCACGTAACTAGAATCTACTAGCTGACGCAAGCAAGCGATACTGCGATCGCTTGAACCTACGGACAGTGTGGGGCAGGCGAACCCGAACTTTAAGGTTGTTCTACCGCCAGACGGGGCCGCTCTGGGGACTCGCCAGGGAGAAGTCTCATCATCTTTCGTTTCGAAATCTCATCAGGCCGCCGTGACAGACTCCTTACAGGCTTCCCTAATAGCTCTAACCCTCCTACTTGTTTTGCTATCGAGAATTTGGAATTCCCAGATTCGGGGGTCTTCAGTTTCCTTTACAAAGATTGACTGCGTATGGGCTCTTGATTCCATTTCTCATCTATGGACGACCCTGGGGCGACTAAGACACGATTCTGCGTTTTCCGAGCGCCTTGGCAGTACATGCTTAGCAATTTTGCGGTTACTCCGCGATCGTTTACGCTCTAGGCCAGCGAAATCTAGAGCGCCAGACGATAAAGCTACGCTCCTCCTGATTCGTATCTCAGCTGACCTACTAAGATGGCCTCGGCATGACTTGACGACTCTTCTGGAAAACGAGCTCTGCTCGGTATTTGCTGATGTTTTATTGTTGTCAGAGCAGTCTACCATAACATCCGAAGCCGTTGATGGGTATCTTTTACCACCCACTCTGGAGCTAATCGCGGGTGGAGGCCTTACTTCTTTAAGCCAGGACATGCAGGTAAGGTCTATCTGCGATGCCTCTCTGATGTGGACCGCTATCTAATGGCTACCATAGCTTACCTTAGCTCGCATTCTACGTAGACAAACTAATGATGCAAAAACATGCCAGCAAAGGGGGATCGTTGTCACTGACATTAATGGAAAAAACTCTCTTGAAGACCCTGTTCTAGAGGAGAGTCTCCATACGCCTGAGGTCTGTGAAGGATCCCGGGTCGGCGATGAAGCTGGTAGACCTCACAAACGGCGTCGACTTTCGAAAGCCTCAGAAACGAAGGGAGGGCTCGTAACCCAGCTAACGACGGAAGTGTTTAGTCTCCTTGGTTCTCAGGTGGCAGCAGACTTAGACGGGCTGAGCAAAGTTGCTGGGTAATGGCGATGCCCGAGTTATGAATCGTAATGTTGCTTACCAAGACGCAGAGATTGCTTCGTGAAATTGTCGAGTAACGATCAGTGCCGAGCCTTCGAATTGCTTGGAAACCTTGCTTGCGCAGGTGCCGGGACTTTGAGCCTTAAATGCCAAGGGGAGGGCGGTGGTAGCCGGTGTTTAATATGTGATGTTAACACATTTGCTAACTCTCGAGAGGCAATATGGAGTGAAGCAGAAAGTGAGGAGGTTTTCTTAACTCTGGCCTCCCTCGTTAAGACGCCTGAGTGTCAGAGGTCGACGAAACCAAGGATATGGGCAATGCTGGCTGTTCGAAAGCTCATGCAGCACACAAGCAATCAAGTCCACCTGGAACTGGCTAGGTCATATTTCGGGGAATGGTGTCTGCAGTCTCACTGTAGCACTCTTAGGGAACTTCGCATCGCTGCTGGGTTAGTTCTATTTCCTTCGCTGCATGAGGGTATTGCTAAATTTTCAAACAGTCGAGCTTTGCCAACTTTCTTGAGACAATCCCTAAAAACCGAAGTTCTTCAAGA